CCTGCCCACGTTCTTTACACCGTAGGAACGTGTGCTCATTATTGGCTCCATTGGCATTATCAGAAACCTCCTAGTTCTCTGTGTTTTACAGGTACAAAAATCCCTTTTACGGTTAATCTGACTGATCTTGAGGTTGACATGTGCCTTTTTGCAGATGTTATGCATTTGTTCCCTCTCAGATTAAATCTCCAAGCAAAGGCTGATAGCAACAAACTGGGGGGGAGGCAACCCACTCTCCGCACACATCCCTGATAATCTCAGTGTAAATTCTGTCTGTTTTAAGGAATCAAAATGAGAAAATAAATACCTTGTTCTATACACAATGCCATCTGACAGTTTAAAGAAGAGTTTAGTGCATTTAACGATTGCAGCAGGGAGACTGTGGTTTCTGACTTCTTCACTCAGCCTGTAGGATTTGCAGAAATATTTGACAAAAACTGACACTCTTCCAAGCAGCCCAGATGTCCTGGAAGGACCAGGAAAGCAACACACTACATGAAATGAGCTCGTGCCCTCAGTGTATTCCCTGCTTCAGGCAGATCATAGGATTTCTGTCAATTTGTGTGCTCTCTTGGCTTCTGGTAGTGTAACAGCCAGCCAGAGCTACTGAAGATAGAGTATGCAAAAATCTCATGGGGAAAAAAAAAAAAACATACCTGCCTTCTGTCCCACACTGTGCTGTTGGATTTCCAAATCCTTCTTGCTCACTGCTTGCTGTCATCATGCGTGGCGATGCAGAGGGGTCTTATAGGACCAGAAACAGCCTGGGGTTATGAATCATGGGTTAGTTTCCTATTCTTAAATATTTGAGACAAATAAATTGGTTTAGTTACTTTAAAGAACTGGCTCTTAATAAGAGCTAGAGGAGAAACCGAATTCCCTACAGCTACCCTACAGGTAGACACCTTCCTGATTTCTGAAATGCAGCACAAGCTCTCCGCTTTTCATTAAATTTGTTTGGGTTGGTTGGTATAATAAAAGCATTAAATTGTCCAAATAGGAAAATCTCTGTAGGCAGACAAGCACCTGCGAGGGTGTGAGCTCTGCACAGCATCTCACCCAGTAGTTGCAGGGAGTTACGAGACTGAAGATTTTGTTAGAATTGCAAAAGCATTTAGATGGCTGTCTCAATTTTTTTTGCACTATTTCTTTATCAGCATGAGGAAAGAAATTAATGCCAGATGCAAATACTGATATTTCAAAGCACACCAGGCCTCAGTTGTTCAATGTCCTGTGCTGGAGGAGGCATTTTGGGGAAAAGAAACAGTTATTTCAAACTATTGGGAGTTACTGCATGCAGATTCCGAGAAAAAAAGCTATTTATAAAATCCTGGTTCCTCCCTATCTCACAGAGTGTGCCATGTCACTTCTTTTTGGATTAGATGTACCTGACACTGTGAAAAGTCCTGGATTCAGACTCCAGGTATCAAAGCTCTTTATTTCACCATGCGACCAACACAGTGGTTCACGTTGAGGGACTGCTAGTTGAGCATTACACCTTCTCAGTACATCCCTTAAAAGTGCCAGTTTTAAGGTAGATTTGGGTGAGCTGAACTGACTAATTTAACTTTTGTAGTGGTTCATAATATTTGGTCAGAGCAACAAGGGCATATTCAACCAAACAGCCCCAAAAAACAGGAACTCTGTGTTACTGCTCTTATAGGGAACTGCTCTTCTCCTGAAAAAAATCCATAGTTTTCAAGACAGCTGGAATCCTCCTCAGTTTGAAGAGGAAATGATCCCTTTGATCTCCCTGCCACTGTCAGTCATCACTTGGAAATGACTGTATCTATAGCTGCAGTAATTGACAGATCATTAGCAATTGACTGTAATTAACCACAGATTCCACCATGGATAGTATTTGTTTGTGCTAGTAAGCAAAATTATAAGTTTAGCTGTTCACTTTGTCTATTTAAAATCACCTATTTCTCATGTTTTTAAGTGACAAGAAGCTGAGGACACCTGAAAACTACTTTATAATGAATTTGGCTGTGAGTGACTTGCTGATGTCGGCTTCTCAGGCACCCATGTGCTTCATCAACAGCCTGCACAGAGAGTGGATACTTGGAGACACAGGTACTGCTCAACACTTGTTTGTACCCCACCAGCTTTACACTGTCCGCAGCCTGTTTGACCCCTATCAGTCTTGGCTTGTGCCTTGGAGACAGCAGCACAAGGCTCTTGAGTGACATCTCAGGTTCTTGACATCGTCAGTCAGCATGATTGCACGTGTTTTGTGTTACTGGTTTGATTCTTTCCTCTTACTTATTTTGGAAAGGAGTCAACATCAACATGTAATCATGTTACCCTTCAGCTTGTAAGGGCAGATGCTATGTCTGAAGATGGGTAGAAAAGTTTTATTAAGTCATAAATATTTTTTCTGGTTTAATTTATGAGGGAGTTAATATTTTCATTTAGAAATGTATGTTGATATCCATTAGCATGTTTCTAGGCATCTCACATTTAATTAAGAGATTTAAATAACAATAGTCAGACGAGGACTCTGCAAATTTAAGCTCCTTTCTCTCCAACTGCAAAAAGAAAAGGTGATGCATGCTCCAATTATAGCTCTAATGTGAGTATACCAAGTTCTCAAAAGGCTGGGTGAAAATTTGCACCAAGTAGTGGCTGTGTATTGGTGGAGCAAGCCCAGAGGTCGTGTGTTATTTAGCAGGGGCTCTTCTTTAGCTTGAGGATGTTTTTAGCCTTGCTCATCCCCTTAGATGAAATCAGTGTAAATTATCATGCTGCCATAAATGGAGTGACTGATTTGGTTTGAGTGGCATTTGGTCTTTAATTGCAGGGTACTTATAAAGATTTTTAGAAGAAGTCTGCTTTAAGGTTGAATGTGGTATTTCGACTGCCTCCCATTCCTGGTGGGCTGCTGTCTGTAAGCAAATGGGGTGACGGAAGGTCTCAGAAATGAATGATCATTCAACACAGGTTTCTGAATCAAATTAGGGACAGTGTAACTCTACAAGTTCTTGTCTGCTAGCACAATGCTTGAATGCAAAGAGGAGGAAAAAAAAAACCTGTTTCATGTAAAATCTGTCAGGCTTTTAAAATAGTGCTGGTATTAAATATAGGCGCTGGAGCTATGTTTTGCAGCTGGTCTTTTAGCCATCAAATTTCAACCACTTCTGCAAGTTTAAACCACATAAACCAAAGTAATTTTTCAAAACATGCATCTGTCATTAGCAGACAGATGTCTGCTGCAGCCCGTTAAGATCAATATATTGGGCAACAGTCCAGGAAAATATAACTTTAATTAGATTGGCTTTTCTTGACAAAAGGTTCCCAGTTGCAGCCCCCAGTTGGAGAGACTAGGACTTGTGAAATACATATGTTTTATTTTATTAATATTTGTGGCTTTTCTAATAAACAGTTCATAATTACAAAATTGTGAGTCAAAGATAATTCTTTGAATGGGAGAGAAGTCCCGAGCCAGGAAAAAATGGGAGGTTTATCATGTCAGGCTGTGAGAGAAAACGTGCATCTGTTTTAACAAAATCCCTGACATTGCCATTTTCTGCTCCAGGCTGCGACTTGTACGCTTTCTGCGGGGCACTCTTTGGAATCACCTCCATGAGGACTTTATTGGCTATTTCTCTTGACCGCTACCTTGTGATCACAAAGCCCCTGAGATCCATCCAGTGGACTTCAAAGAAATGTACCATACAGATTATTGCTGTCGTGTGGCTGTACTCGCTGGGATGGCGCGTGGCTCCACTCCTCGGGTGGAGTATGTTGGCTGCTCTCTCTCTTCTAGTGTTCCCTACATAGTCTGCTTTTGCCTTGCTTAGGGCATGGCAAAATGCGGTTTTCAATAAGTTCTCAGGGGGATGCCTGTCGACCACCTGATTTTTTTTTTGTCATACTGTCTATCTGCACCTATTGCAGTGCAGACACCCCCCTACCCCTGGGTTGGATTGAAGCAGAACAAATTGCCAATGGAGTATGAGGTGTATCTGGGAGTCTGGCAGTCAGGACCTCCTCTCCACGAGGGCACTGGCATTCTCAGACCACATGTATAAGATGGCCAGTGTAGCCCTTGAAGGCTGCGTATACAGTATGGGGTTTATTTTAAGCACTTAGTTGTTGGATCAGCAACTGCACAAGCTTGGGTGTATGTGTGAATAACGTATTCCATGTATTTCCTAGGCTCCTATGTGCCTGAGGGCTTGATGATATCCTGTACATGGGACTATGTAACCTACTCCCCTGCAAACAGAAGTTACACCATGATTTTATGCTGCTGTGTGTTTTTTATTCCCCTGATAATAATATTCCATTGCTATTTATCTATGTTCCTGGCCATAAGACGTACTGGCAGGTAAGCAATGTAGCTGAAATATGTATATCTTGCTTTTCTTCTATTAGAAGATTTTTCTCAATTTCCTTAGCTGCAGAAAAATCAGAATCAAAAAATAATCCAAATGGAAATTGGAAAGAAGGTAGATCATTAACAGCTGTAGCTGGAGAAGTATTTTTTCCAATGTAAAAACAGGAATGAATGCATGTATTCTCTGGTGGTTTTAATCTTAACCCAGAGTGTGGTAATTAGAAGTACATCAGATAATTTGATAGTTTGGATTATTTCTATTTCAGATTTGCAATACAAAGAACACAGTCCCTGTGCATCGCAGCGCAGTTTTCAGCCCCAAGGGATGTAGCAATATCATCTGCCTTGGAGCTGCCCTGTAAACATAACAGTCCTCAAACTTTTTAAGAGTTTTATTTAAGGCAAGCATCCCAGAAAACCTTGTGGTTCACTCAAACATCACAACTGCACGCACAAAATCTGGCCATGCTTGTTAGGACACTTATTTTTTTCCAAAGTCTTGGTCTATACTTGAAGTAATTAAAAAAAAATCAGCAGGGTGCTAGATCTGTAAAGTAACTTCATTCTGTGAGTTTTCTCCTAATGGGCACATGACTTATCTTTGGTCTGATCCAACTCCAGCTGAAGCTGTGAGTCCTTCCCGCTGCTCAGCAGCTCCCATGGCTTTTTTTTTCTGCCCCTAGCTGCAGGCACTTGTTGAAGTCATTTGGCTTCACAGGGCTAAATTCCACTTTTTAAAACGTATTTAGTTGTATGCCTAAACTGAAGTTCTTACTGAAATATGTCTCAATTTAACAACACTGATACGTAAAAGTTGTAATTTCTATACTAAACTGTATAAAATGGTAAACTATCTTTTTAATAAAGTGTAGGGTGTTTGTATGGTGCAAAAAGATAATTTGATGGGACATTTTTGGGCAAAAATATTAGGACTGACTTATGTATGCCCCTGGAAATACTCTTCTCCAGTGAGCAGACCCACAGCCAAGTAAAAAAGTCCCAGTAAGCGTTTGGGGACAGGTGCCTCAGAGTAGTCAGGGTATTCCAGTGCGAGCTGGAATATCTGCAAGTTTTTCCTCCTTTGGAAAGGAAAGACCATCAGATTTTACTTTGCATCCAGCTGTGCCTTTGCTTGCTCCACCTCTGAGAGTGACAAAGGGCAGAGGATACCACTTCCTTTCACCCTCCCAACCCAAACCCCTCCTTGTGTCTGGATAAGGAGATGGCAGTCCTGTCCTCTAGTCCCAGGGGTTCTTCTGTCTCAGTCCTGCAGGCAAACAAAGCTCAGACAGAACGCCTGGGACCATTTTACTACTTTAGTTATCTTCTAGAGTTTTTAAGTATCAGAGAACAAACGAATAGTTAGAGTAGGGTGATGAAATCTGCTTCATATCGCTG